GAGTTAAAAATCTTCGTTTGTGTTCTACTGAAGAAACAAAGTCACCTACATCTTGGATGCCCTGGGGGTAAGCAGATTTTCATTTTTGGGTGAACTATTCCTTTAATACATTTTTTCCCAGGATTCTTTGTTCAACAGAAAATTAAAAAGAACAGCATTTTTTTTTGGTAACGTTATAAGTGTCTTTACTAATACTTTTGATCAATTTAATGCATCCTTGCTGAATAAAAATATTAATTTCTTACATTACAGATTGTCAAGCTGAATCGGCGTTTGCAGCTCTTGGAGGAGGAGAACAAAGAGAGAGTCAAGCGAGAAATGTTCATGTATTCCATCACTGTAGCTTTCTGGCTTATCAACAGCTGGGTGTGGTTCCGTCGCTAAAGCTACATGGACTCAGCAATGTGGGAGGGGCAAAATCAGAACTCCGCCCCTCTGCTCTATGTGTCAAACTTTAGCCATGTTTTTTGAATGGCTAAAACATTTTATTTTCTTCTCAGCAAGAGCAGTAAAGTCAGGGATAGCTTCTTTGTTTTGAGTTTGTCTGTTTTATTTTATTATTATAAATATGTATTTATACTTTTTTTATTATTCGTTCTTGTTCTATATAATTGTTCTTTTTCTTGGTTTTGTACTTTTTTTTTTTTTGTACATTACTTTATGGGTTGTCGTTTTTTTTTTTGTGTAAGCCAAGCATGAACCAGATGTATATATTACTTCACCTGTCTTTGAACTTTGGCTGTAATCATTTATTTTTCCATAGGTTTACTATACAAAATTAGTACAATGTTATGTCAACTTTTACAGAGACCAATGGAATGGAACGCACTGATATATCATAGACAAAAGAAATGCATATAATATTAAATAATAATAATATTTAGGGACTGTTGTGATTTTAGGTACATTGTGTACATCTATGTTACTAGAAACATAGAAACCATACTTGTTAAGTGTGAGTTTAGTCATTATTTATGTACAACAGCCCATTATTGTAATATTCTGATGTTGTTATTTCTGCTACAACCTTTTCTGCAGGATATTACTGAAATACACGTTCAGTTTTCCTCTCACAGAGTCATAAACATTGTATTGCAAACGCTTTTATTTGAATAAATGACAACAGTAGAGAACTGCACTCTATCCTGTCTGCTTTTGATCTTCTGTATTTGCTTGTTTTCTTCATTTCTGAAGATAAAGTATAATTATCGGTCTTAAGAATGACAGATTAAAAGTACAAAAAAAAAATCCAAACAAAGCTGCAAAATATGTACTCATTAGTGTTATTTTAGTATTTATTTTTATTCTATTATAGTATTCATATTTTTTTATTATATTTTCAAGTTAAGTTTTAAGTTAAATTTTAGTTATTTTATTAGGTGTTTTTTTTTCCCTATATAAATTAAATTAATTTTGTTTCAGGTTATTTGTCATTATTGCAGTATTCCAATTTAAGCTTATTCCAGTTAGTTGCCATGGCAATATTTCTAATTTTTGTTTAAGCTTTTCATCTAATATTTATATATTATTTCAGCTTTATTTCATTTACCGAAAATGTTTATTTAGTAGTTTTAGTTTTAATTAACAATAACAACACTAGAACTTATATTAAGTGCCATGGTCATCCATGCTTTTAATATTGTACTAATAAGTAAATGCCATATTGATGATTATAAAAAAAAAAAAAAGGTTAAAGATAAAAAGAAGCATGTAATAATACACATGACATTGAGAAAAGTGCATATATGAATTTACAGTCTTCTTTACCCTGTTGTCCTAAAAAATAGCACGCACCTGGGATCCTTGGGTTAACGTTTAAAAACGATAGTACACAACTATGGGTAATTAGAATCACTTTTGGCATATTAATTTTTTAGTTATGGAGTCCACCTTGACAGACACCACAAACTCAGCGCTCCGGACACGTGGTGGCGCTGTGGACAGTTTCCCTCTCGCTTTCCGTCGCTCTTTCGCGGACAGCGCAGCGTCAGGTCGCGGCTGTCATGGCGGCGTGCACGGCGCTCCTGAGTCGCGCTGTGTTACCTCTGCATTACCATCATGTGTGCAGAGGAGTGATGCTCACACACATCAGAGAGAAGAAGAGATGGATGAAGGCTTACACACTCATCATGGAGAGAAAGAGAAAGATGGAGGGACCTCCACCTCCAAAGCCACGGTCAGTAGAACATCTCAAGGCCACTTGTGATTCTCTCCGGCCGTGACTCAAACCATAGTGAGCTGCCTACCTTACGTTTTAGTATTAGAGGGACCTATAATAATACTATTATTTGGTTTGAGAAATATATATATATAATAAATAGCTTGTCTAAGTATGTCTTATCATAGGCCTTTTTGAGATGATTGGCATTGATAAACATTCTTAAAGGGATATTTCACCCAAAACATTTTTTTATTGTTTTTAATGTTTTAAATACTTATTTACATGTTGTTCCAAACCTGTATTTTTTTATATTTTAATATATAAACTAAATTTTAATGACAGCAAATTCATGGTGTGTGTGTGTTCACTACTGTGTGTGCACATGGATGGGTTAAATGCAGAGCATAAATTCGGAGTATGGGTCAACATACTTGGCCACACGTCACTTTACTTTTACTTTCAAAGACATGTCTGATCTAAACTGTAAATCATGCTTTTTACAGTCATTTTACAGTTTAATATGTTACCATAGACATTGCCCTACCCCGCTCATATGGTATTAATTTTATTTGTGCAGGTCTTAAAAAGGTCTTAAATTTGAGCTTAAAAGTCCTGCAGATACCCTGAACCCTCTTTTCTCTTCCCATCAGCTCCCAGCAGCCAAACTTTGATTACCATGCTGAAGTGGAGGCTTTCAGTGCCCGACTGCGGGAGAGTTTCTCTCTGGAGCTTCTGAAGACGGCGTTTGTGAACACGTGTTACCTGCGATCTGAGGAGGAGAGGAGGCGAGCGCTGGGCCTCGATTTGGAGACGACCACCCTCAACCTGAAAGACAACGGCGAGCTGTGTGTGCACGGTCAACAGTTCTCAAAGGTGAGAACACCGATGAGTCTCATGCTGGAATAATTGGAATGATATTCATATTCCTCTCCTTCTATTCTTATGTACAGGCTTTCCTCAGTGACTGGTGCAGGGGCAGCTTTCCCAGCCTGCCTGAGGAGGGTGTGGCAGCCGTTGTAGGCCACCTGACAGGGTCAGAGGTCATGTGTCACGTCGCACGAAACCTCGCAGTAGAGGATTTGACGATGAGTGCAGAGTTTCCTGTTCCAGATGAAACCCTGCAAGGAACGTTCTTCGCTGTGATTGGTGCTCTGGAGCAGAGCAGCGGGCCTGTGCGAGCCGGGCTTTTCATTAG